AGAAATGAGGTTAAGTTGGTCGCTATAAGCTACTCCCTACGTCCAACGTGTCAGAGCCAACTTCGACCACGTTTTTATTTGAACGCTCGTTAGTTAGTGACAGCAAATGCTTTTGTTTGGTTATCAAAGTACGGCTACTTGATTTTAGGAATTCGATTTTTATCTTCCGCATTTTTAAAACACATTGAAACATTTTAATAATATAATCTTAAACCATACTGCTGATTGCACGTCTCTGACTTTTAGTATTCTGCTGGTACCTCGCAGGAGAATAGCAAATGATAGTGACATTTACTACATCAAATTTCAAAACAATGCATTCAGCAGTTCTGGAAATAAAAAAAAGTTTGGATTATAAAAAAAGTTGCTGTCAATATTTTTACACCTAATTATGACTCACCCAGTATATATTATATTTCTGCATTTACAGCCAAATAGTCTCAAAATCCATCAATGTAATCGACTCGACGAATCCTTACAAAAAATGCCGAATACGATTTAAAACACAAAACAAAATTACGATTTGTTGCAGGTCTGACTTCCTAAAGGTCCGGGGCTTTGACGAAGACATAGTGGGCTGGGGTGGCGAAGATGTAATGCTCTACAGGAAATACGTCCGGAGCAGCATGAAGGTCATAAGAGCAACAGACCCAGGAATATTTCACATATGGCATCCCAAGGTTAGTAATTTGAAATATCACTCCAGATAAGGGTCGCCTTGCGTTATATTCCGGATTCTCCCTGTCGTATCTCCGTTGTTTCTTCCGTTCCGTGCTATTTATTATATAAACTGATAGTGTGTAACAGGAAATAGGTCGGTTGTCTTATTGATGAGCAAACATAGAAGGGGAGGAATTAGAAACAGAGGAAAAATTCTACGTAGAAACGACGTAGCGACAATTCCAACGATAGTGGTTAGTTTTTGTTCAAATTCTACATGTCTCTATGTAAGAAGAAGTAAAAGAAAAATTTGGTAACGACCCACCATCGAACAATTTTCAATTCTAATATGGTTAAAGATTTTAAATGTTTCATGTTTCAAAAATGAATAGTTATTGTTATTTACACCATAAAGGAGGTAAGTTTTACCAGTCGAGGACAATTTTGCGCCCGAGCGGAGCGAGAGTCCGAGACTGGTAAATTATACTTAACCGCTGCGTGATGTATAACATTTTATCTGCTCCCACAGTTCTTTATGATTTTATTGCCCGAGAAGTGGAAAGTGCGCTACGGACGGGCATATAGAAATTTCAAAGAATGGTGCCAGAGCAAAAATACTGGTGTTTCTGAAATGTCACTGCTAGCATATTTCATGGAGAAGTCAAGAACTTTAAAGTCACCGGCGAGTTTGTGGAGTGAATGATTTAGTCAACTATTTTCATAGAGGAGAACGTGGATATATCAAAACACCTCAAGCTGAGAGCATTTTTCAAACGCAAGAATGACGGCTATACACTTAAAAAGTCAAACGTTTGTACAAGAGAACAAGTCAACGATTTTCTCGTTCAGCTGAAATTTCACGCTTTTTTAATGCGCTATCAAGCAGGTAGATGCAACAACCAACCAGTCGGCAGGAATACCCTTTCTATGATTCCTAATAAGATTGCACAGTTTTTCAAACTAGAACATCCTGAAACGTATACAGGCCATTCATTGCGAAGAACATCGGCAACGTTACTGGCTAATACAGGAGTTGATGTATTTGCAATCAAGAGACATGGTGGGTGGGAATCAGCCACAATTGCAGAAAGTTATATTGCTGACAGTTTAAGTAACAAAAATTAAATAGCCAACAGGGGAATTCAACTCCAGGGGAATAATTATCCAAATTTTATAAAAATGTTACTAAATGTAATACCTGTACAATTTCTATAAATATTAATTCATAATAATTAATAAAATGTAGTTTTCATCATTTATAACTCGAAATCGCTTTTTTCCCTAGGGAGGTAAGTTACCTCACTTACCTCCCGTTGTCCGTAGCAACTTCCACTTCTACGGTAAAATCCACTTACCTCCTTAAAAACACTGTATTAAATAGTCTATTTATTATAGTGGGAACAGATAAATGTAATTTTCGCATGAAACAAAACTAGATATTAACAAACGACCCTCAGGAAAAAACCTGGATTGTTCACCAGCACGCCAGGCCAACAGGGCAGGCATTAGGGTGTCACTAGATACGTATCGAATAAATTGATCGATGCGAAGCTTTAGATTAGAGACAGACATGTATGTTATTCTACAATGACGTGGATATTGAGATTACTAAAATGTGAAGTAGTTGATGCTTCACCATTAGTAAAAATAGTATCTATTGAAAACTTCGACAATTTTAGACATGCGCTTGTGATTTCCGTATTTGTCGTGCTCCTTTTTGTTTCATACTATTATGCAAATACTTATATATACAGTTTTATAATGTAAAGAGTGCAATTACAAAAAGGCATCGGTTGTGTCACTTTTTGGTTGAATAAAATTGCATAAAAGAGAATCTAATATCTACACATAACAAACATATCATCGTTGTCAGAAAAATACGCTCAATTCAAAAACGTGAAAATCCAATATGGCGCCCAAAAAAAGGTATAACATTTACCTTGATTATCTTGTAAATAATCACTTCATATTAAATTAAAGACAATGTTAATATAACACTAGATTTTTTTGTCTATCTTTCGTAACCAAAATAGACCGGCCTAAAAGCGAAATTTCCACGAGACGCCTTTTCTTCGAGGCGAGGAAATCAATTTCCTCCTTCCACAGGCGTTCGCTCAGATACCCTTTATGAGGTGTCACTTCAGATATCTTTGCTCGACAGTGTTGATATAAGTAATTAGTTCTTGACAAATTCGTCCAAAATAAATATTTTAACAAGTTCTTACACTTTCAGTTATACCCAAAGCAAAAAGTCACAAACAGATATCTTCTTAACGAGAAACTGCCAAAGGGGATCGATCTGATATTTTAAAACTTCATCAATTGTGTTCCTTTGCACCTAATCTGATAATCCCGGCTCTGCGTATAATTGTAAATTAGATCCTCCTTTTCAAGTCGCCGAATCTCAAATTAGATAAGAAATTTCGCTTACGATGCCGCACAACCTCAGCATCAGCGGATATGAATTGTCAATCTGCTTAAACAGCAGTAAAAGAAAAAAAGCTGAAGACCCGATTAAGTTTAAAAATGTAATCAAATGAAGAAAAACGATATCCGAGCTGTTCCGACATATAGCCACTGCGCATCAGTCCTTCACCGGCCAGATGAAAGTTGGATTCAACGTGGATATTTAAATTTACTTGTTAGCATTAATTTTTTATTCAATTTATTTTTTCCAGGTGTGCTCCGGCAATCTCGGAGGGCAAAAACTGTCAGCCGACCAGTACAGGGCGTGCATCAGGTCCAGGGCCCTGAACGAAGCTTCGCACGCCCAGCTGGGCTTCCTCGCTTTCAGAGACGACATAGCCGCAAACAGTAGCCCCGCCAAGTACCCTTCGCATAACCTGAAATCGCTGAAAACTTCCCCGAAAAAGAACAAACTTCCCACCTAAGATTAGTGAGTTTTATTTTTAGAACCGTATGAGTTTCAAGTAATTGGACAATTTGACACCGCTTGTGAATACCGAAACTGTTAATAAAGGTGCTATGTATTTGGGTTTCAAAAAGCGTACTGCGTGTTTTTGGAACAGACCATGTTTTAGAGTGAATTGGTAACTTCTCTACCTCCATAATAACATTCTATCCGATAAGGATGCCTCGAAAATGTTTCTTTCCAATATTTTAAACATTTCGATGGCTGTTATTTTATTACATTAGATCTAGATTGAAATTGCACTCGAATCAATTCTTTAATAAAGAACACAGACACTACGAATTTCTTTGAATGCCTTTTGGACTACAAAACGCACCAAATGCTTTACAAAGAATGATCAACAATTTTTTATCACTTATCAACAAAATTTGATTTGTTTATTTG